AAAAAAAAAAAAAAAAAAAAAAAAAAAAAAAACAAAGGAAGAAGCAAAAGACGAAGAAGAAAAAGAAGATGGAAAGAAAAAGATAACTATTTTTCCAACGGTCCTGTTCTATCCAGTCCAGTTACAGTCGTGACTATAAACTTCTAAAGAGCAAAAGAAAACAATAGCAACAAGAAAGAGACTGCATAAAAAAAAGAAAACAAAAAAAAAAAAGACAGAAAAACTAATACAAAACTAAATCAAGCATAGCCAGAATTCGCTCCAGAATAATGTCAACTAGCAACATTAAAAAATAATTAGCTAATTAATTATGTCAATTAAACTGATGTTAAAAAAATTCAAATAAGCAAAAATAAAATTTATTCTGATGTGTGACATAATTTTATGCAAACAGGAAAGCTTCGAGTTTTTTTAGCAATTGCTTCAACTAAAATACATATAAACAAACACAGACACACGCACAACAAAAGCACACAGACACACACTAAGTCACTCAGTCAATCACTCACTCGCATAAACACACAAACAAAAACTTAGACAGATGTATTATATATTAAAGTGTACGTTATAAGCACAAAAGTTGAGCCAACGGTCATTACTGGATTGAGAAATTCGTTGCGGAACTGAGAATTTCAAACAAAAAAATTCATTCAATCCTCTTCAAACGTGTTTGCGTTAACAACCCTTCACCTCAAGATCCCCATCTTTTTTTCTTTAACTCACCTTCACCCAACTCATCTTCCAACCCATCCTCCTGTTGCTCAGTAAATTGTCCAACGACGGCTGTCGGTTATATCATTATCGCCGGCTTGTTGCACCGTCTGCTTGTCGCTTCTGTTTTGCTCTAAGAAACTGTTGCTATTGCTCTATTTACTTTTTAATCGTCTCAGTTGAATTCGATTGTTCCTCTCTTCTCCTATTTCTGTCTTACATCAATGTGTTTAGACGTCATGTTGACATATTTCAACCGTGGATAAGCAGTGCATGAAGACGTATGTGGACCAACAGAAATCG